GGGGGCGTGGCCTGACCCGCGGCGTCTCCTCGCGAGCGGAGCAACGGAAACGGGCAGCCGCGGGCCGCGGGCCGCCCCGGCCCGGACCTACCCTGGCGTCGTGTTTTTCTAACTGGATAATCTCTCCAGGAACGACCTAAACACTGTGGAAGGGGGAGGAGAAATCGGAAGACCTGTTATATATAACGTATTAAACGGTCTAATGTATGTGTAACTGGGGTACAGAGAGGGGGCGGCGGCGGGAATTGAGGTCATAATGGTCACGAGTTTTATACGGCTAACGAAGTATGTAGAACCGCATCAGCAGTAATCCCAGAAAACCCCAAGCAAGATACATACAAAGAAAAACACCTAAATATAACATAGGCTACTAAAAGTCAAAGCTAAATGGAAGAGTTTGAAGGAAGTCAGAGAAAAGAGGACCATAACTGGTAGAGAACTTGCACACATCAGAATTACGCAGGCCGCGCCGCAGGGAAAGGAAAAGACAGAAGGAACAGCTCCAGCCAGGACGAGAATTCTTTATCTAGCAGAACATCTTTTCAAAAATGGGTCAAGAACTATGAAAAATCCTCAACAAAATACCAGCAAACCAAATCGAACAACATATAAAAAGAATTATATTTTATGACCGAGTGGGATTTATCCCAGGAATGCAAGTTTGGTTTAACATCTGAAGATCAATTTTTGTAAAATACTGTATTAATAAAAGACAAAATCCACACGATCATTCTAATAGATGCAGAAAAAGCATTTGAAATACTTACTTACCTTTTTATGATTAAAAAAACCCAAGAAGTTAAAAACAAAAGGGAACATGTGCAAATTGATAAACGGAAAGCTGAAAAGTGAAAAACTTCCTTATCATGTTTAAAATGAGGAATGACTGAATGCCCCCCTCCCTACGTTCAGAAACAAAACAAGGACATCTAATTCGGCCACTTTTATCCGATATTGTAACGACAGTTTGCTTCATACTAAATGTCTGTGTCCTCCCCACAATGTCATATATTGAAATCCTAAACCCCAATATAATGGTATTTGAAGGTTGGGCCTTTGGGGGCTGAATAGGTCATGAGGGTGGAGCCTCCTGAAAGGGATTAGTGCCCTTATAAAGGGGACCCCAGAGAGCCCCCTCCAGGGAGATAAAACAGTCATCTTAAAGGTTCTCATCACAAGAAAAAAAATGTGTAACTATGTAAGCTGATTGATGTCGAGACTAAACTTACTGTAATCATTTTGCTATATATTGTTGTACACATAAAACTAATACAATGTTATGAGTCAATTATATCTCAATGAAACTTGGGGAGAATAACAGAAGAGAGAAAAAAACAGTTTAGCAACTGCAGAGAGAGAGAGCGGGAGAAGGAGAGAGAGAGGGTTGGCGTGTTGTCCCTTACACCAAAACGTTGTGGTTCGATTGCCAGTCAGGGCACATACCTAGGCTGCAGGGCGTGTTCGAGAAGCAACTGGTCAGTGTTTCTCTCTCACATCTCTCTCTCTGTCTCTCAAATAAAAATCACTAAAAACATGTTCCCAGGTGAGGAATTTAAAAAGTTTTTTTAAACCAAAACAAGATATTACTGTTCCTACATGTGTCCATAATACTGCTTAAGAAAATAAATCCAAGAGCTCTCACCGTTATATTACTAATATTTCCAAATTATAGGGATAATTGAATGCAGAATGAAACTGTTTACCTGTAAAGATTTTACTTTAATAACACAATAAAATTCTGTTCTTGCAGAAAACTGTGGAGCTAGGAGAGCATACAATTTTCCCTAGTCCAGTATATTAAAATTTTTAAATCACACCTACAATAAAAAAATATTTACACTGTGACTCAGTACACACATATACACCCATAATGTATATGTTTGTATCTGTGCACTTTTATGTATGTGTATGATTGAAACGCATACACACATATACCATAATAATAACATGAAATGAAAAACACAGGCCTAGAATGTTTTTCATTCTCCTAAGGATTTCTTTACCAAGTGATTTAACAAAGTAATTGATGTTCTGCAGACTTGAAACTACTGCAACACAGTATGCATTCTAGACATAGTTCCCTTTAGGTTTTAGGTTATGACAACTAAATTAGTATTTTTAGACAGCATTTTAAAAAATTCATTAGTATTTTCTTTGCATATTTTATTAAAATATTATTAATTTTTAACTTCCTCTCTCAAAGTTTTTGTCAGTGTTGTTCATGACAGGTAAAAGTTCATGATAGACTTTTATTAAACATCTAGTGGAAATAAGTGAATAACTGTAAGGTGCTGAAAAGGAACTTAATGTGTTGGAGAAACACTTCAAATACTTTTTGATACATTATTAGTGCAAATGACAGCTGTGGTGACAAACTTAGGTCCTAAAGTATTATGGGAATAATGCAAGTTCAATGATGGCAAGAAAGGCTTCTAGCACAGTGCAGGTGGCAGAATAGATGTTTAATAAACCGCAATTTGTGTTAAGAAGTTATCAGATTCATTTTAATATTCAATCTTTTGAGCAGTTTAAAGTTAATTCTCCTACTCCTCAAATTTCGTTCAGTACTGCATTCTCTTCTTTCCTTTACCTCTTTCCTCTGAAAGTAATAATAACTGCCCAATGTTAGTTTAGAGATGGTTAGTAACTGAGAAGCTGTATAAAGCAAACCATAAATGGGAGCTCATTGACAAACATTACTGGTGAAATACTGACTACCAGTTTGGCTCTTGGTTTCATCCTTTCTTGATCCATTGCATGTATTTGGAGAGCTATTTACTAATGAATATGAATGATATACCCAATATTTTGTTGGCTCATAATTAGTTGGGACCTCATAAGCCTCAGTAAATTTCCAACAATTCTACAGACTCCTTTAACTCACCAGCAAAACCAGAAATACATAACCTGGACTTCATATTAAAAATACTTTTGATGCTTATAAAAATCTCAATACCAGGTCATATGCCAGGCGAATTAATTCAGAATCTCTGGTTTGTGAGATCCAAGAATCATGATTTTTTAAATTTATCTTTATTGTTGAAAGTATCACAGATATCTATCTCCCCCCCCCC